ATATTAAAAGAAAAAAGAAAAGAAAAGAAACTACCCCTTGCTGGATGGGCAGGGGTCAGTAAATGGGCGTTGACCTCCACACTTCCCTGGACGTCCGCTGCCTGCAGGGGCTGGTCACACCATCCCCTACTGCCTCCGGTCACCAATCTTCCCGTTACATGGACAGGCCGCTCCCCTCCAGTCCCTGCCCCTTCCTGTTAGACAGACAGACCTGCTCCCCTTTGGTGCCCAGCCCTTCCTGTTAGATGGACAGGCCTGCTCCTCTTTGGTGCCCAGCCCTTCCTGTTAGATGGACAGGCCTGCTCCAGGAGGGGGGGCACCTGGAAACAAAGGCATGTTAACACCTCCCCCGCCTTCCGGAGGAGCCCAGGGAGCATTTGTGGGAGTAACTCCTGAGTGTGTTAGACCTGAGGTCGGCAAACCGAGGCTCGCGAGCCACATGCGGCTCTTTGGCCCCTTGAGTGTGGCTCTTCCACAAAATCCCACGTGCAGGCGTACACGTACAGTGCGATTGGAACTTCGTGGCCCCTGCGCAGAAGTCGGTTTTCGGCCTGGGCGAGTCTGTTCTGAAGATATGGCGTTAGAACACCGTTTGCCGACCACTGCGTCAGACCCGTGGGGTCACACGATGGGAGTGGCCCTTCTCACCCTTACCCTCGTGACCGCTTGAAGAAAGAACGCTTGCATTCCATTCCAGTGAACTTGGACTTGACCCTCCCACCCCACATATTATATTTTGAAAATGTTCAGATCTACGGAGAAGTTGAAGGAATAGTAAAGGAACACCCTCTGTCCTTCACCTGTCATTTCACACACGGAGGCCCGGGGCAAGGCCGTCCAGGGAGGCGTGGGGTTCCGGGTTCTCAGCCAATGGCCCTCACGTCCTCTCCTGACGAGTGCCCTTAGAAATCAGTGGTGTCATCAGTGATGCGACTGTGCAGCCCTCTCCGCTGATCACGGGCTCGTCCCGGGTGGCAGGGGAGAGAGCTGGGGGAGCCCCAGGAGGCAGTGACCCCCTCGCCCAGCCGCGACCCTGTGCTGCCATGCCGGTGCCGACGGCCGCCCTGCCGGCTGCCCGGGGACGCGGTGCCATGGCTCCAAGCCACGCCGAACAAGAGGCACTGGGTCAGGCCTGGCCTGGCCCGCGATGCCAGTGAGAACAGGGCGAGGGGTGCTCCAGCAGAGTAACCCCGAGTTGGTGACTGAGAGGGAACTGGGCCAGGGTCCAAGGTCTGGGACAGAGGGACTCAGGGAAGGTAAGCACGGCCTCAGGCTTTGAAGTCGCCAGATGCGGATTCCAATCCTGCTGCTGCCGCTTGTGCTGCTACAAGCCAGAGAACTCCGCTCTGGAAGTCCATTTGCGCCTGTAAAGTGGGACAGGAAGAGAACCCTCGCAGGGGTCTGACAGCACAGTGCTGCGCCTTTCCTGAGATAAAACATGTCCAAAGCAGAGTCTATCCCAGATTACTGTCAATACTTACAGGAAAGAGTCCTACGTCCTAGCATTTTCCCCTTGTAGATTGCTGAAGCCGAAAATGTTGTAAAATCCAGGCATCTTTAAATTTTTTTTTTAATATATTTTATTGATTTTTCACAGAGAGAAAAGGAGAGGGATAGAGAACTAGAAACATCGATGAGAGAGAAACATCGATCAACTGCCTCCTGCACACCTCCCACTGGGGATGTGCCCGCAACCAAGGTACATGCCCTTGACTGGAATTGAACCCGGGACCTCTCAGTCTGCAGGCTATCCAATGAGCCAAACCGGTCAGGGCCATTTAAAAATGTTTAAAGTGATCACCCCATCAGCGTGCCGGAGGCAGTTCTAATAGCTTGCTGCCAACACGGTTTGGAATAAATACGTCTTAGGTACAGCGAGCAGTCGCTTCGCTGCTACTTAAACCCGCCAGAGCCAGGGTTGCAGGCTTCCCTGCTTTGGAAACGTCCTGCTGTTTCTAAGGGCTCTCTCTGAAAAAGCCGCTGACCAAAGAGCTACTCGGGGGCCTGGGTACGGAGACATGGCTCCCGAGAGAGCCTCTTGATCCTGGAAGCTGCCATTCACACATTCCTCAAAAGCTCCCAGTCCCGCCCTGGGCCTTCACTAGCCCTGCATCCTATTGTATCACACATGGTGAATGGGAGTGTTTTCTCCCTTTCACCTCCCAAGGACAGCCGTGGACGGGGGAACAAAGCTCACGCTTCAACAAACAGGCGAGGCTCATGACTGCCTCTGGCACCAAGCACGCAGGCTATGCCGACGCAGCTGGACAAGGCCAAGGTCCAGGCTTGAGAAACTCGGCTGCAGGAGGGAGAAGTGGTTTGAGAACCAAAATGACCAAATTCTTGATGTTATAATAAAATACACACACACACACACACACACACACACACACACACACACACACGCTAGAGGCCTGGTGCACAAAATTCATGCACAGGGAGGGGAGGGAGTGGTTCCTCAGCCCAGCCTGCCCCCTCTCCAATCTGGGGCCTCTCGAGGGATGTCCAGCAGGATCAGGCCTAAACAGGCAGTCGGACATCCCTCTCACAATCCAGGAATGCTGCCTGCCTTCCTGACTGCCCCTAACCACTTCTGCCTGCCAGCCTGATCACCCCCTAACCAGACCCCTGCCAGCCTGATTGATGCCTAATGCTCCCCTGCCAGCCTATTTGCCCCTAACTGCCCTCCCCTGCAGGCCTGGTCACCCCTAAATGCCCTCCCTTGAAGACCTGGTCACCCCTAACTGCCTTCCCCTGCTGGCCATCTTGTGTCCACATGGGGGCAGCCATCTTATGTGTTTGAGTGATGTCACTTTGCATATTACTTTTATTAGATAGGATATGCATTTTTTTTTAATTATTAAAAGTACTCATAGTACAGATGGTACTTACAAAGAAGTCACCAGAAACCCAAAACAGGAAGTAAATGACGCATAGCTGACAGTTGATTTAAGTTTGTGCTGGAAACACCAGACCTGCCATCACTCCGATGGTTCACTGCTTCACCCTGTCCTTGGCTCCCTCATCCTTCACCCCAATACCACCCCAATACCACCCCACTTCTCTTTATCTCATAACAAGCTGCTGAGTCTCCACTCCTCACTCAGACTCTGCCTCCCACCTCATCAGCATCACCAGCGACCTACAGACCACACCTCAGAGATGGCAGGTTGTAAACGGCAAGGGGACAGAGGGCCTGTGTCAGACGTAAGACCAGACAGAGCCACCACAGGGGCTGGAAGCTGGTGCTAGATATTATTGGGAAACTGGCAGACCTGACTGGGTTTCTGGGAGAAGGGATAGTGGGAGTTCCCTGCCATTCTTGCAACTCGGTACCCATAATCATGAGGCTAATTAGACCCGACTTACCAAGGACCTTCTGAATGGAGTCGGGCTGTAAGGGCCCGAGGCAGCCACGCAGCTTCAAGGCCAAGCCCCTTGCACGATTTCAGCACATCGGGCCTCTAGTTTGGAAATTGAGTCAGAGCGGGAACTGTCAGAAGACTCGGGTTCACGAGGAAGCAGCCAAAGTGGAACCTCTTTCCAAGACGTGAGCTACGACTCAGGCTGCTCGTTAGTTCTAGTTCTGACGTGGACCGGAGGGAAAGTACTTATTGTGTGCAATGTCTTTCTCACCAAGGTCGGTTGTAGTGTCCAACTGCTGGCAGTTAGAGAATGAAGTGGCCAAATCATTTCTAACCTGAAGTTATACGACAGAAAGATTAACTATTTAAAACTCTCAAAGCCTGAGGGTGAAACTGGACGAGAAAGGAGTGTTCCACTTTGGTTGGAACAGGTCACTGGACCTAGGACTGAAACAGCTGTAACAGCACGGCTGTAACAGCACAGCCAGGGAAGGTCTGAGCTCTGTGATGGACTTCTATAAAAAAAAAGGGGGGGGGGGGGGGAATCTTGGTAATAGAATCGTTTACTCAGATGGACATTGTCTGAGATGAACTGTTACACAGTAAATACTGTAAATGCTTATTTTCTAAATGCTTCATGCTTTTCAAACCCTTCTCACCGATTACACTTTTGAGCCATACTACAGAATTGTCAAGGACTGTGGTTTTTTTTTAAATATATATTTTTATTGATTTCAGAGGCAAAGGGAGAGGTAGAAACATCAGAGATGTGAGAGAATCCTTGATCTGCTGCCTCCTGCACACCCCCCACTGGGGATCGAGCCCGCAACCCGGGCATGTGCCCTTGACCAGAACCAAACCTGGGACCCTTTAGTCTACAGGCTGATGCTCTATCCACTGAGCCTAACTGGCTAGAGCATTGACTGGAGTTTTGAGTCCATGTGTTTTACAGCCTATCAAATGGAGCAAAATTAGTCATATGTAGTGTTCCACAGATCTTTCTATCCCTGTATAAGTTTTCCTTTTTATGAGATCTCAATAGATAACTAAGCAGAAGCACTAATCAAGATGGGAAAAGTAGGCACTTTATAAGTGAAAATGTAAATTGAAGTTACACGAAGAAGTCCATCAAACAGGTAAGGGTAGCAAGGAACACTCAGACTGCGGGACAGCCACAGGGCAGAGAGGAGGAGGCTGTGCCCCTTAGTTGTTTGCATTTCCCCGGGATCAGGTAGCGGTCCAGCCCAGAGGCCTGGAAGGCTGGGCGTGCCCTGGCGAATTCACATTCCAAAGGCACTCATGCACAAAGGCACTCCATTCAAAAAACCCACTTGGCAGGTACAGCCATGCATGTTCAGGCGTGTGAAACTGGGAGGACACAGGGCACGATTCTTATTTTTTATTTCAACATTTAAAATATTCACAGATGTAGTCATGTATTCATTGACATCTCCATGGAAGACGTACCAAACAAAGCATACAGGTATTCCACAGTTACAAAGTACAGGTCTGTGACTATGTAAAGATTTTACTCCTAGAATTTATCTGGAAAACCACCACTAAAAACCAAACAAAACACACACCCCCCCCCCACACACACACACACACCCCAAAAAAGCCCCTCTTGAGTGTTTCACTGGATTTCCATAAAAAGTGAATAGCAGACTATCAACAGAAACCCCTTAATTTTCACCAGCACTTTACTATTTCAGATTTTCAGTCTTCTTTCAACATGCCCATGTCATCAGGAACTCTTCTCTATTTTTCTTTTCCCCTCAATAGCCACAGCCAAGATATATGTGCTTATTTTCATCATCTTTTTTCCAAAAACACTATGCAGAACAGGGTGATCATCACGGGATCTTGACTGGCTAATGAGGTAAGAGCAGTCTTCCAGGAATTCCTTAAGCATTTATGAAGCAAAACAAGAGAATCATCAAATTATATGCTGTTTTTTCAGTTTTTGGTGGTTGTTCTTTTAATAAAATGCCAAGAGCACTGGAAACTGGGCACATGCTACTTGTATGTGAAAGAGAGTAAAACCCATGAGGAAAGGCTGCTGCTGAGCACATGCCAGGGCCGTGGTGGTGAAGTCCATGTTGGTTGGCATCACACGGTAAGAAATGGTGACCACAATGCCATTCCTCCTGAGCGATCTTACCAAAAAGGTAAAGTGTAAACCGGAACAAAAGTCCCCTTTCTCTCAGGAGGAGTTAACTTGGCTCTTATTTTAACCAGCCCTCATCCTTCCCTACGCACACACCAAACAAAATAGATTTATAATTTCTATACACTGCACATCCAGTAGCACTATTTAAATGAATTTAGCAGTCAACTTAACAAATTCTGCCAGAGAAGCACTTCTGACATGAAGGTTTAACAACGCACCTAAACAGCTGGACAAGGCCTGGGTAGTGACAGATTTTGGCACCATCTTTGTTAGCAGGTGGTTTCAAAATGTACATATCCTTAAATTCAAATTCCTATCAACCTAGGCAAGTCAGCAATTATCCCCTCTCCATCTACACCAAAATCAAAAAGTTCTGTGTTCTAACAACCCTTTCTGGATATATAAGGAATAGTTTTCAAGTCTACCCAATCAAGTTCACAGGACATGTTTCCAAAAAAGGGGGAAGTTATCAATCAAGTATGAATTGTCTAAAATGCGTTATTGGAACACTTTGGTACCTAGTATTTGAAGAAGGCTAAAATACCAGAAAGAGAGTTTATTTCCTCAATTACATACTGATTAGGGTTACTGCTAAAAACACTTTTTAAAAAAATCTAAAAATGTAAAAAAAAAAAAAAAAAAACAGAATAGCTCCAGAGAAATTTATAATTATATGTGGTTTGGAAGATGGCTTTGAAATCAAGTCCTTGACAATTCTATAAAATGTTCTAGACATAGTTAGCAATCAAACTTGGTATTAATAGTGCAACTCTCTACATGGCAATAACCAATTTTTATTTTACGTTAGCTATCAAAAATAACTTGTCCACAAGCATTTTTTACATCTTTAAACCTCTCTTTTGACTATTCTATCTAGAATCGTGTCCTATCTACATGATCAAAATAGCATTAGTTTGCGAGAATTCTCCGACATCACGGCCTTCTGTAACTGCAGGCACAGCTCCCTGCTATCCTTTCCTAAGGCACACCAGGCCTGCTTATTGCTGCCGAGGCCCTGAAACCTGTGTTTCAATCTATGTCTCTGTCACCAGTTCAATAAAAATCCTATGGAGTACCTGCTAGATTAACTGCAGAAGAACCAAGCCTATGTCTGAAGCAAAGGCCAAAAAACACGAGTGCATGCTCTTTCCCTAAAAACCAACCACATTGCCTACATGACGGCAAAGCTCAGCTACATCCCTGGCTCTATATAACCCATACTTGATGTTATAAAATAAAATGTTAGGCCAATGAATTTTCACAATTTTTATTAAGTCCTAGTCTAATTTAACAATATCTGATTCTATAGACATCATCCTATGGTGAACATGTTCAATAAATGAAAGCAAATCAGACTCTAAGTCATTATTTTCTGTAGAACTAAGCAGTAAGATAACTACTACACAGAACAATACATGACATACACTTACTTGCTCCGTTTTCATACAAGCCATGTTGTTTATCAAACTATATCTCCTAATATTTAATACAGTAGAATTAGTGACTGTAGTTCTCATATAATATTTTAGTTACAAGTACCTTATTGAGATAACTAATATTTCGACAGTTTCACTGACTTTCCAGATTAGCAGAATATATTCAAGAAAAAGCAAAAAGTGAAATGAAAGCTGAACATGAAAAGTGTCGAAGGAAAATGAAGTAAAGATAACAAGGGAAGTGAAGTATCAGTGGGGTTGAAAATCCAAGCCTAGATATTTGTTTAGAAGAGATCAACTAGGCTTTCACAGATCAAGTTTATAAATTCAATACAATATAAATCCTTATAATGAAAAGCCGAGTTGAAATTCAAAGGTCTATAAATTTTGGCCTTAAATACCGTAGTACCAATTCTTCGGACCAAAGAAGGCCACACAGTTATGATTGTATTACTTGATTTTATTTTACACTAGGTGGTGGACACAAAGCAACCCCTTAATAAAGTTGACAATTAGCTTCACTCAGAACATTTTTAATAATGCACATTAAAAAAAAAGTATTCTTACAAATTGTTCTGCAATCCAAATATACAACAGCCTGGAAAACAACATTTAAAAAACAAAGCCAATGTAAGAAGAGGTTAAAACAACTAGGACAGAACAGGTTTATATGGCTCAGATTTCACAGTTTTCTCACTGCATCGTCAATGTCAGAAATCTGTTCCTTCAGCTGGCTCCACTGCTCAGGGTTTAAGGAAATACCTAAAACAAAGTTTCAAAAATCAAAAGTTGAAAATGTATTTAAGCTTTCTTGAGTATTTTTAAACTTCCAAATAAAATACTATTTTATCAACATTGCCATTTTGAATGGCACGATGATATAATATTGAGAACAATGTTAATTATAGATTCATCCTGATTGCCTGAGATGATTGATGCTATATCTAGTTTTACTTCCTACACTGCATCCTGCAAGACACATACAAAACTCAGGGAGAACTAATCATGACTTGAAGTTTAGCTCACAAAGCTTGCAAACTAGCCATATTTCAGTGGCCAGGTCCAAGTTTGGTGTGTGACATCCATTTCTACATTCAGTTGGCTCCAACATTTGCTCAAAATTTCCACAGGAGTTCAGGTGAATGACTTGTACGGAGTTCCTCACTTTGGAAAATCCCTGGGGTGTGACTTCTTGGAAGGTACATTCTAGAGACTGGATTCAAATCCCAGCCTCATCATCACTAACAATATGACTTAAAGCAACTGCAAGTGCCTCTGAGCCTAAGTTTTCTTGTCATTAAAATGGTACGTATATTACGCCTCCAGAGTTGTTTCTGTGACTAAATTGGCTGATTTGAACTACAAGCTTGGCATATCACTAGACACATGTAAAACTTAAAATGTTAGCTAATGACAGGTCTGAAGTATAGGCAGAAAGAACGTTGTACTTTAAATTTCCAGTCATCTTAATATCTGACCCATGCAAATGGAGAATTAACTAGCATTGAAGAACTGATGGATTTCTCAGAAAACTGCTGGGAGGCCCTAAGTGGAGAGGAAGGAGAATGCATTGGGACACACCTAGGAAGGGCTTTCTAGCTCATCTTACTGGTTAGTAATCACAGCAAGAAGAAAAGAACTCGCCCTAGCCGGTTTGGCTCACTGGATAGAACGTCAGCCAGCAGACTCAAGGGTCCCGGCTACAATTCCAGTCAAGGCATAAAGGCATACACCTTGGTTGCGGGCACAAACCCAGTAGGGAGTGTGCGGGAGGCAGCTGATCGATGTTTCTAACTCTCTATCCCTCTCCCTTCCTCTGTAAAAAAAAAAAAAATCAACAAAATATATTTTAAAAAATAAAAAAGAACTCTGACATTGGCCACAATGGAACAGGTGGACTGACCAATCCCAAAGTGGGCTGAACAAGAAAATGTAAAAGGACATGAAAACAGACATTAAGTTTACTAAACCTAAAAACTACAGGAAAGGGTCAGACCTTACGAGATGACATGCAGGCAGAAGAAAACGGGCATTTTTCATTAACTTGGCACCCAAATGTTCTCTAGCTACTTGGTGACTTAATAAAATACGCTGTGCCCTGGCTGATGTGGCTCATGTGATAGGAAACGAATCAATGTGCTTCTCTCACATCAATGTCTCTCTCCCCCCTCCCTTCTCTCTAAAGATCAATGGAAAAAATAACTAAGTAACATATGCTTCTATGGTGCTGGATGAAGTAGAAAAGGAAGACAAAGCCCACTTAAAGGACACCGCTCTGAAGAACACCCCAAGCAAACACTGAACACCAGGATTCCCGGTCCGCATTTTATAGCTTCCCAGACAGTGCCCACTCCACTTCAGAATTAACGCAGAAATAATTTTAAGTGACATTCAGTAAATCAGCAACCTTATAACTCCTGAGCCACCTAAGTGCTTTCTCACAGTCACAGTATCTGCACAACCTCCTCTACTCTGAAAAGGACTCCTCTCCCATACAATTCACAGGACTGGCTCCTCCTTTATCTGGTGTGAAATGGCACTTCCCCTCTCAGAGCAATCTGCCCTTTTATCTCTCGTCCCTGTCATTTTAATTATGTTTACCTGCACCATTTGTTTAATAGTATTTTTCATTTATTTCAGAGAGGAAGGGAGAGGGAGAGACAAACATCAATGAGAGAGAATCAATGATTGGCTGCTTCCTGCACACCCCCTTGAGGATCAAGCCTACAACCCAGGCACATGCCCTGACTGGGAATCAAACAGAAACCTCTTGGTTCACAGGTCAATGCTCAACCACTGAGCCTCGCTGGCAGGGCGCTGCCATGACTTTATCCTCATTCAAATTACGTGTTGCCCTGGCCAGGCAGCTCGGTTGGAGCATCGCCCCCATACATTAAAAAAAAAAAAAAAAAAAAAAGAGAGAGAGAAAAAGGGTTGCGGGTTCGATCCTCATTCAGGGTATATTCAGGAAGCAACTCAACTGATCAAGTTTCTCTCACATCAATATTCTCCCTCCCTCCCTCCTTTCTCTCTCTTCCTCTCTCCCTCTCTCCCTAGAATTCACAGAAACATATCCTCAAGTGAGGATTAAAAAATAGTAAGGGTCATACCAAAAAGACTACAGGAGATAGTGAATCAACCAAATGAGGATCTTCCTCGTGCACTGCAACATTATTTCAATTTCAAACTAGGTCACTTAGTTTTTATTTAGTCCCAATATTAGGACCAAATTCAGGAAATTAAATCTCACCTTTTCTTCCTGGTTTCATTTCACCTTCTGGATCCATCCAATATTCTCTGATATCAATTAGGACTTTCCCTTTGAAGTCCCGGACGCTGACGTACCTCATTTTCCCAATCTGCAAAAGAAACAGAACATAAAAAAGCATTCATTTATAGTCACAACTTACTGCACACTCACTATTCTTTTAGTCACAAAAATAACTGCTACTATCAATATCAAAACTGCAATCCAAAGGAAATGCCACTATTAAAATCTTTGTAAATGATGGAACTAAACAAGTACAACTCACATTTCTAATCATTTTACATTAAAAGAATCATTAGCAAAATAGTGCAACCACTATGGAAAACAGCATGGAGGTTCCTCAAAAATAGAACATCTGCTCCAGCAGCCCCACTTCTGGATATGTATCTACCAGAAATAAAAGCAGGATCTTGAAGAGGTATTATCTGTACACCCATATTCACAGCAACATGACTCACAACGTTTGGGACAGGGCAACCCAAATGTCCATCTTCTCATAAATGAACGAATAAAATGTGATGTATACAAGCAATGGAACATTACTCAGCTTGAAAGGCATTCACATGCTACAACATGGATGAGCCTGAGGCTATTATGCAAAGTGAAATAACAAATCACCAAAAGATATCGATTGTATGATTCCACCATAAGATGCCTAGAACAGTCAGATTCCTCTCTGAAATCAATAAAAATATATATATGTATTTTTAAATGTAGGTATCTTAGGAGGCTATGGCACTGAACTAAACATTTTGGTTTTACAATAAGCCTAAGAGCTAGTTGAATAGATTAAATTAAAATCTACTAAAATAATTTTGATTATTAGACACGTCAAAAATTCAATGTGGGCTTGAGCAAATGGAAGAGACTTTAGATGATAGGATTTGACCTTGAAAACGATCAGCCATTAAATAAGTAAAAGGGAGAAGAAAGTGACAAAGACATGGAAGGGAAAAAGCAGAAAGATACAATCCTGATTTCCAAGGGCAGGCTGGCCACATTGGCCTAGATTGCAGGACTTGAAAACACAGGAAGAAAATTCTGAAGCCAAAAGAAACAATCAGAAAAATACTACTACTATACTACTACTGCTGCTTGTCTTTTGCAAGACTCATCTTCCTGAGATATCAGAAACCTGCAAAGAATTAAAACTTTGAACCCTCACTAGTAAAAGTGAACCTCTTTCTGAAACAGACAGGCAATGATCATAAGTAATTGAAGAGTCAGAAAACTGCTGCGGATTTGCAGTTTAGCCAGCAGCAGCGCTTCCAAGGCAGTGGTACCTGGAACGGGTGCTGAAAGGGGTTCCTTTAAGCCAGGTGTGAAGGGGGTGCCTCGATACATAAGGAAATGTCTGTTTATAGACTAACCAGTACATTGGACAGGTACTGTACATAAGAAAGGTTAAAAAAGGGATTCATTTGGGGTCTGGAACAAATTAATTCAACTTACATTCTTTCTAAAGGGGAAAAATGATTTGGTTTTTGAACAAACTGGGTCTCGAACAGCCTTCCGAAATGAATTACGTTAGAGAACCGAAGTTCCACTGTACTGTCTAATGTGCAATCCCCAATCCCTTCCTTTGGATTTCTACAGCTTTTAAATTCACATTGTTTTACATACAGTGAAGCTACAGACTTTAGGTGTTAGCAATGACCTAACACCACAGAGGGAGCGTTTGAGGTACTGCTGCCAGGCGTGCTGGCCATTTGGCTCACATTAAACTTGTAAAAAAAAAAAAAAATCAGCATCATATAAATTACTTTCACTTCTACTAACTTGTTCTTGTATTGCAATGACTAGCCTCAGCCAGAGCACTAACAGGAAGACTGCCTGTTAGAGGAAGGCGCTGGGATCGCTCCTCAGGCCCAGCCAGCCAGGAAGTGCTCGGGGCCTCGCCCACTCACCTGGAACATGTTGTCATCCCGGCTGCTGCTGCTCTGCTTGGAGGAGGCCAGGGCTCTGGACGTCTCCCCAGTCTTCTGCTTCTTCACAGCCTTTTCTGAGACAACTTGCTTTTTCCTCTTTAACTTGGAAGAAAAACATGAATATGGTTAAAACATGCACCCTTAAAACATTTCTCGGGTTTACAGACAGAAAAGGGGGGGGGGGGTATATACAAGTTCAGTGAGCAACAGGAACCTAACATCTGACCATAAACTCCTAACTGGGCAGGCCGGTAACTTCTATTAAGTTTCTCTCTGCATTAAGTCCGGTCATGGTCTCTGGGCACCTCAGTTCACGCACCTTTGAAATGCCCAGTTCTCAGACCCGGAAGCTTCACCGCCCTCGGGAGAACATTTAGTTTCCCTTGTTAACTACCCTGTGGTCCAATCCCAGCCTCGCTTTCCATGTACCTTCCTTGTCTCCCTCATCATTCCAAATGCAGTTTGGCTTACTTAACTCATAAAAATTCCCTACAAAGTTAGACGTTTCTTACATGGAAGGTTCAAAAGATTCCAATGTTTTTTAAGACTTAAAGGATCAAAAGTCTACATTTACTCATTAAGTAAAAAACATAAACATAGCCAAGACCCACCAGACAATGAAACTCTGAAACTAACCTAACGCTGGTATATAATAATATTTGCAAACAGTTCTGAGGAGCCCAAAAAATACATTAGGCATTGCAGTGGTATTAAGCAGAAAAGTTATTTTGTGGATCAGAATCCCACGCAAGGTTTCTGTGGAGGAACCACCACCAAAGCTGAGGGGCCTGCTGCTTCTGAATAAACCTCTGAAAACCAGAGTCTACTACAGCTACAAAGGGGACGTGCTAACTAGGAAGAACACAACCAACTCGTTCCGTTTTCTAGGGTATGATTATCTATTTATGCTCTGCTATTCCAAGAGACACGGGCTTAGGGAATCTGAGTAGGCAAAGAAACCTATTTTGTACTGTGCACAAGTCAACTCAAAATAAATAACTAAAGATAGACACCAGTGTATTAGACTAGCATCTAAAAGCAAAACAATGTTTTAAAAGCAGCATCATTGCAAAAGCTTTTTATATAACTTCAGTCTCAAAATGAGCTAACAGCCCATGAAAGCCAGTAGAGTTCCCAGCCCAAACAGTAGAGGGCAGTCACGTTCCTTAGTGGAAAGCCTGAGCTAGTCTGGGGTGGGCAAAAGTAGACTCCCAGTTGGAATACAAATGAATGCAACTAACAAATAATAGCGCAGTAAACAGTTCATGTATTCACAATTGGAAACCTACTTTTGTCCACCCCTGTATATTAGCTTACTAATTTAGATGAAGCTAGATATAATATAATGGGTACAGACAAAAAGAAATGGATGCATTTAACATATGTCTTTAGGATTAATAGTACTATTGGAACAAACAGCAAAAATTAACTCTGCTCAATAAGCAAAAGCAATTATTCTTTCCATCAGGCTCTGGCTAGATAGTCCCTGTGGGCTGGTACATGCCTGACATACAAAAGCTAAATAAAAACATGTCGAATGATCATATTTAAATGCTATACTGGTGTAATAGAGTTCCCACTATAGTATACACTGAGTGGCCAGATTATTATAATCTTTGTATGCATAATAATCTGGCCACTCAGTGTGTGTGTGTGTGTTCATCCATGGGTGGGGTCTGGCCAGCCTGGCCAGGGGGAGGGCACATGGGTGGTTGGCCAGCCTGCCTGATGGTCAAACTCCTGGTCGAGAGGACAATTTGTATATTAGCCTTTTATTATATAGGATAGACAGAGTGGCCAGATGATTATGTGTTCAGATCCATCTCCCCCAAAGCCCCCCTTAAGCTCTCTTAACTAGCACTGCCACCCAGGCTCGCAGACAGCCTGCGGGAAGGCAGCCTGAGGAAGGGCCAGACACTCAGTGGAGAAGGCACCACGGCCAGTGCAGCTGCCTCTGATGCAGGAAAAGCCTCCTCTGCCTAAACAGGCCATCTCAGGGCAGCTTTGCTGGTGCCAAAGGGAGCGAACCAGTCAGTAACATTCCCACTTAAAGTGGACCAAGCCTACCCTCTAAGTAATACTGTGGCCGTATAAACACCATTGACTGAGACAGGGTCAAAACCGACACATACATTCAAGGAGTTCAGATAATCTGGATCAATTACTTCACACAAAAGCTACAGAGTAAACCCATTTCTAAATAATGGCAAACATGACTTTGGGCTAATTCTAATGCTATGCCTCGGGTCTACGGCAGTGTTCTGCAGGGCTAGGGTTCCCCCACAGAAGTCAGGATGAGGCTGGCTGGAGTCCGGGTTAGGGGAGAGGGTTCTGCATGGAGCAGCACCCTAGGCATCTGAGTGAAGTGAAGATCCAGGGCCTTCTTCCTACATTTCCAGAAACGTCCATCCGACACACCTTGCTGTCCCTCAGAGCGGGACCTGGGCAGTACTGCTGACTGAGTACTACAGAAATGGCCTGGGGCAGCAATAGTCACCTTTTTGTCAACTTCACTGTCGGAATCGCTGCCAGAAGAGCTTGAAGAAACCAGTTCCTTTGACTTCGGCATTCTGAAAGAAAAGCGTACCAGGTAAATAACTTACAAATGGCTCTATCACATTCATTTTAATCGCCCCCACCAAACATGTAACAAGTTCCATGGTTCATGCTACCATTTGGTGGTACTGGAGCTGTTATTCTGAGCGCAATGCTGGAAGTTATCTTCTAATCTATGCTCTTCCAAGCTGAAAATAACATGCAAAGTGTCATACACATCTCACACTCTTATACCCCTTTCTCAAAGTCAAGTGTACTTTTATACTTTATTTTAGCAGGGCGAGATGTTTATGAGTAAAGTCCATTGCAAGAAGCAGCTGACAGTAACCAGGTAAAGCCAGGGTGAATAAGACCTCTCAGTAAGGCTTTCCACCTCTCACTGATGAGACCTGACATAAAATTATTCACCACAGGGAATACTTGCACTATACAGATGGTGATGTACAATTAATTTGCCATTGCACTACTACTAAAGGCCCAGTGCACAAAATTCGTGCACTTGGGGTTCGCTCAGCCTGGCCTGCAGCCTGGGAGCCCTCAGGGGATGTCCAAATGCTGTGAAGGCAGGAGAGGCTCCCACCTCCACACGGCTGGCCAGCACAGCTTCTAGCTAAGCGGCAACCCCCTGAGGGAGCACAGTGACCACCAGGGAGCAGCTCCTGCATTGAGCGTCTGCCCCCTGGTGGTCAGTGCACGTCATAGCAACCGGTCTTTCCAGTCATTGGGTACTAAGTAATGATTTTTCACATTTTGTATATATTCTTTTCTTTAGCTTTTTGACCATGCCATCCAATAACAAGGACTAATTCAGAGTTCACAAAGTGATACATAATTCGCAACTTAATACATTTTAACACTGATTTTTTACTCTGGAATGTACTAAAATTTGAAGAATCTGCTTGTGGTACAGGCAAACCCTGTCCTCAAATTCCGAGATCCTCGCTTCCTAGGTCCCCGATAGGAAAGAGGCACACAGCCCAGTGCCTTCCTTCCCAGCACATGTTTCCTGGGGGCCTGAGCCGCAAGGCAGAGCCCTGTGCACCTGCATTTACAGATTTGTTTAAAACCTAGATCCCAAATGTCAAGGAATTCCAAGACACACAGAACCTATTTTCAAGGCACTTGTGCCAGGTGGTAAAAAGTTATCTTCAGCTGAAACCGGTTTGGCTCAGTGGATAGTCCACCAGCCTGCATCAGACTGAAGGGTCCTGGGTTCGATTCCGGTCAAGGGCATGGACCTTGGTTGCTGGCACATCCCCAGTAGGGGGTGTGCAGGAGGCAGCTGATCAATGTTTCTCTCATCGATGTTTCTACCTCTCTCTCCCTCTCCCTGTCTGTAAAACATCAATAAAATAAAATAAAAGTTATCTTCAGCTCTCTCCATCTCCCCTCTCAAGAGACTGAGTCATATTGTTCCATGCCCTAATGGGCCCAGAATACACCGCACACAGTCTCCCTGTCTAAAGAACAAAAGACTCCACTTCCTCCTTTAAAAAGTCACAGATAACGTCGCTCTAAGCTTCAGTAGCAGTGGCCTTGACTGTGCTCCACAGCAGGGGGTCAGGGGAAGGGCCCCCTCCCCCATCCTGGACATTCAGTTCCAGCCGCAGAGCCACCCTCACCCCATTCCCGCTCCTGCTCCATGTCACAGCCCGTCTCCCCATCCACCCCGCTCAGCACGCCCGGCCACTCAAACCCCGACCAGGCGGGCCCGTGTTTCCCGGGAAACGCCCGCCATCTGGTCCCACAGGAACGCACCCTCCCTCTGAGCGGACCAGGCGATGGTGCCCAGAGCCGGCCCCCGGAACCGATGGCCAACACACTCATCTTTCCCTCCCGGGCCTTCGTGCTCCAAAAGAACGCAGGCTCGTACACCAGGCAGAGGCCACGAGCATCGCTAGACTAGACGCTCTACAAAACCCGACGAAACACAAACAAAAACCACGCGAAATCGCTGGTGCAGGCCGGCGGGGAGGGCTGGGGCCGACCACCCGGGACTGACCTCGGGCGGCCCCGGGGGTCACCCCCAGGCCCGGGAGGCGGTGGCGAGGGGGTCCGGGGCTAAGGGGGAGGGGCCTGGGCTGCGGGGAGAGGGGGAGGGGGGCCGGGCCTAAGGAGGAGGGGCTGCGGGAAGAGGGGAGGGGAAGGGAAGGGTGGGGGTGGAGAAGGGGAGGGGAGGGGAAGGGGAGGGGGAGGGGAAGGGGAGGGGAGAGGAGGGGAGGGGTGGGGGTGGGGAAGGGATGGGGAAGGGGGGCTGGGGGGAGGGGGAGGAGCTTCGGGAAGAGAGGAGGGGAGGGGAGGGGTCGGGGTGGAGAAGGGTGGGGGTGGGGGAGGGGAGGGGGAGGGGAGTCCGGGGCTGGGGGAAAGGGGCCTGGGCTGCGGGGAGAGGGGGGTCCGAGCCTAAGGGGAGGGGGTCCGGGCTGCGGGAAGAGGGAGGGGTCCGGGGCGGCGGGCGGGAAGAGGGGGGACTTGCACCAGCGCCATTTTCTCCACCCGGAGCTCTCCCCGCCCCCGGAGGCCGCCGGCCGCCCCTACCCCCACCCGCCCCGGCCCCGCCCCCGCCCTCCTCCCCGGCCCCGGAGCGCCCCCACCGGGGGGCAGAGGCGAGGCAGGGGCTGGGGGCAGGGGCTGGGGACAGGGGCAGGGGCTGGGGGCAGGGGCTGGGGACAGGGACAGGGGCTGGGGGCAGGGACAGGGGCAGGGGCAGGGGCAGGGGCAGGGGCTGGGGGCAGGGGCAAGGGGCAGGGGGCAGGGGCAGGGGCAGGGGCAGAGGCTGGGGACAGGGGCAGGGCCAGGGGCAGGCAGGGACGGACGGGGCCCGCGGAGGAGCGGCCCGCCGCCGCCGCCGCATTGTCCGGGCGCCCGGCCCCCGCCCGCGGCCTCGCGTGCCCGGCCGGCTCCGAGCCCGGGCCGCCCGCCCGCCGCCCGCCGCCCCCCGGGGCCGCTCCCGGGCCGCTCGGCGCCGAGGGGCTGCCGCGGGGCGCGGGGCCCGAGCGGGAGGGGGCCGGGCCGGAGGAGGGGGCCGCGGAGGCCCAGGCGGGGCGGGGGCCGGGCCGGGCCGCCATTTCCCGCACGGCCTCCCGGCGGGGAGCGGGGCGGCGGGGCCGGGGGCCGGGGAACCGGGGGGCCGGGGGCCGGGGGCCGGGGCCGGGGGCCGGGGCCGGGGGCCGGGGCCGGGGGCGCGGGGCGGGGGCCGGACTCACGCTGCGCCGCCGCCGCCCGGGTACCAGCCTCCGCTCGCCGCTCCGCGCCGCTGACAGAGAACCGGACGTGACGCAGCCGAGCCTGGCCCCGCCCCGAGCACGTGACAGGGCGTGGCCTCGCCGGGCGGCCCGCACCCTGACCCTTTCCAGGGCCTTAAAGGAGCCGCGCCCGGTTCTGTCTAAAACAGACGGAGAAAACCTGAAAGGCGAGCGCTGGGGTGAGAGAGACACCGTGGATGGGGAAAGGAGGCTTGGAGCTCAGCATGGCCGCTCTGACAGGCCGGGAGGCGCCAGTCCCAGGGGCAGGGAGGGTTGGCACAGAGAAAGAGGGGGAAAGTCCTGGAAGCCCGATGGTCAAGTGCCTTCAACGAAGTCCAAAGAGCTTGGACTTGATTCCATGGGGAAGAGAAGGCAGCGAGCCCTAGCCGGTTTGGCTCAGTGGGTAGAGCATCATCAGCCTGCAAACCGAAGGATCCCAGGTTTGATTCCAGCCAAGGGCACCAGCCCAAGATGTGGGCTCGATCCCCAGTGTGGGGCGTGCAGGAGGCAGCTGATCCATGATTCTCATCTCTGATGTTTCTATCTCTCTCTCCTCCCTTGCTCTCTGAAACCAATAAAAATATATTTTTTAAAGGAGAAGAAGAAGGATGCATTGTGAAAAGCCCTTGAGCCCAGGCAGTGGAATGTTGCCGGGATGTCTGGGGTGATAGGAAGATGGGGCGGAAGGAGGAAGAAGGAAGAGCTGGGACCTGGGAAAGCCATGGAAGAGGATGCTCTGAGAGCCGGGGTGAGAGGTGATCAGTTCCTAGGATATCAGAGTGACTGTCTTCGGCCCGGCTCCAGCCGAGCTCTCCGTGCACATGTCCGGTCCCACACAGGGAGCATGAGGAGTCATAAGATGAGATCTGCTCTGAACGTAACCCCCTGGGTGCCAGCACCTCCCTTCTGAGACCCCCTCGCCTGCACTGAACGTGGAGAGGAGAGACCAGCCTGCCTTCTTTGCCACTGATGATGGTACAGCTGTGGAATGGTGTCCGCCAGAAACAAACTCCGGGGCTGGCTGTGCAGCAAGAGAGCAGGCCCTGCCCAGGAGAGAGAGGAGGCCATTGTAGGAAACAGGCCTCTGTGGCAGAGTCAACTTTTTCTTTAATATATTTTATTGTTTTTTTACAGAGAGGAAGGGAGAGGGATAGCGAGTTAGAAACATCGATCAGCTGCCTCCTGCACACCTGCCACTGGGGATGTGCCCGCAACCAAGGTACATGCCCTTGACTGGAATTGAACCTGGGACCCTTCAGTCCGCAGGCTGATGCTCTTACCCCAGTGGTTCTCAACCTTCCTAATACAGTTCCTCATGTTGTGGTGACCCCCAACCGTAAAATTATTTTCGTTGCTACTTCATAACTGTAATGTTGCTACTGTTATTGAGTCGTAATGTAAACATCTGTATTTTCCAATGGTCTTATGCGACCCTGCTAGCAGTTCTGCTGTAGAGTCTAAGTCCATCAGATAGAGTCTTGTTTCTAATTCATCAATGTTTCTAACTCTCAGTGGATAGAGTCTATCCACTGGGCCAAACCCTGAGCATAGTCAACTTTTAATGGAAACAGTTACTGAATTTCCCCGGGGGCAAACAGTGAAGGGGGGAGGGAAGAGGATATAAGAACAAAGAACTCGGGACGTGAGCCAGCATCATGGTGGAAACCCCCAGGTTCCTGCCTCAACCAGACAGGGGCAGGCGGAGGCAACTGGGAAGGGCCTCAGCCCAATGTTTCCAATGGCCCCATGGAAGACAGAGAGACCCAGGCCACCCACGAGGAAACAGGTGACCCCATAGTACCCAGCCAATGGGAGCGGGAGGAGGACCGGGCAAAAGGCCGTGGTTGCACCCCCGTGTGTGCCTTACTAGTGCAACGGGACAGACACCGCCCCTGAGAACGCCTTAGAAGGCTCCTGTCCCCATACTCTATCTCCGCGTCCCTGATCTGCATCCGGAGAGATGAGCGTTTCTCGCAGTGCGGACCCCAGCGGAGCAGCGTTTGGTAAGCACCGGGCACCATGGTGACCGCCGGCCCGGCTCTGGCTCGCTCACCCTGAGGAGGAGGCTCTGAGGATGCCTTCCCAGGGCCGCCATCGCAGAGAGCACATCGGTGCAGGACCCCAAAATGAAGAAGCGCAGCGAAGGCGAGCAGAATCCCATCGAAGCGCCGCATGGCAGGCCCACGATGCCATGGGAAGTTAGGGTGCAGGCGATGGGGTGAAAAGGGGGGAAGATGGGATCTCCCTCTGTGGAACCATTGGGTCCTTGGTTCCGCCCACCTGACCCTCAGGGCAAGGGCTTTGTACCTTATCTGGAGCGTTCAGAGGAGGGGCAGTACGTGGGAAGGGGTTCAGAGGCAAACAGAACACGGGAGACGAGGCAAAGTCTGAGCACTAACGGGAAAGCATCCCTCCCAGGCCCTCTCCCCTTCTAGCCCTGTTCCACTCTTAAAAGATTAAATGCAGACAAAACCACAAATTAATTTCTTTTTTTTTTAATGTTAAGTCTAAATCATAATGAAATAAAGGTAGCCAAGCCCGACCGGTGTGGCTCAGTTGGTTGAACCTTTGACCTATAAGCCAGGAGGTCAGGGCACATGCCAGATTGTGGGCTCCATTCCCAGTGTGGGGCGTGCAGGAGGCAGCCTATCAATCGATTATTCTCTCTCACCATTGATGTTTCTCTCTCTCTCCCCATCTCCGTTCCTCTCTGAAGTCAACAAAAACATTTTCTGTAAAGCAGCCAGGAGTATATGCACTGTCACAGCTCTGCTCACCTCCCCGCTGGCACACACCTGCCTAAGGAAACCAGGAGACGTTTTCCTCCGCCCGCTTGGGGTCTTCGCTGGGCCTCGGAACGACCCCGTTTCCCCGAAAATAAGACAGTGTCCTAAATTAATTTTTTCTCCCATAGTTGTGCTAGGTCTTATTTTCAGGGAATGTCTTGTCTTCCCATGCGCTAGGTCTTATTTTTGGAGGATGTCTTATTTTCGGGGAAACACGGGTACTAGTAAATGGCATCAGACTGAAAAGACACAGATTTACTTAATATACGTTTCTGTGTCACAGGGGTCCTCAGAAGGAAATGAAGACCAGATTAGTGGCAAAACCTACATGCATTCACACATCAAGCTAGAGGTATCTGTGAAAAGTGACTCGGTTACGTAGGGAGACTGAAGGTGGATCAGCATTATTTGAACAAGACCCATTCGTGTGGCATTCTCTCAGTCCCGGCTTCCTGTCTGGATGATCAGAATGCTAATCTCCTTCCGGTATAGGAAAGGCATTTTCCATACCGCGGGTCTGATCTCCTGGTTTTGGAGAGGAAAGGGGCGGACCAGGATGTCCTCACACTGGCTGCTAGGTGTGTGTTTTTCAGTGCCTTCGCGCAAAAATAATTTCTGTGTCAGTTTTGAGGCCTATTACGGGGCGACATACTCTGGTCTCCGTCAGAGTCATGCTCCTCCTCCCAGGTAAACCCAGCACACCTGGATCAGTATACCGGGCCTGGCACCCAGCTGCCTTAACAAAGGGGCCATTCAGCGCGGTGCCGCCGGAGGAGCGGGCGGGGCCTGCGGGCGGGGTTCGGAGCTCTGGGCCTCAGGGGTGACCTGCTCAGGAAGCAGGGATTTTCAGAAGCAGAGAGAGGAGGTGCTTTGCATGTGAGTGCAGCTGGCTCCGTTCTCTTGGGTGGTGAAACTACTCGCAAACCCAAGAGCATAAGTGATTTTTCTTTTCTTTTTTTCAGTAGTAGTCATTCAAAAAATAAGAATGAAATTTTACATTTGAGTGACAGAGGAAGGAGAAGTTTTCTTCGAAGCAAAAGAGGGCCACCGTTGCTTTTCAATAACGGGAGGGAACACACATGCACGTCCCCTCACACAGCCTGGACTGCTCACAGGACTCGGCCGGCCAAGGTGCTTGGTTCCTGGGTGAGATGCTTCACGTATGAATTATAGATCCGCTCTCTGCTCCAGCCAGCTCCAGCGGGGCAGCCCGGCTCTCCTTACCGCGAGCACCTGAAATAAAATGCATTTCTAGAACAGAAATGTGGGAACCCCTTTCATGTCCCGCGTGGTTCAGGGTTCCGGTTCAGGGTTCCAGTTTTGGAGAAGGCCACACACAAATGAAAAGAGACTTTAGAAAAGATTTAATTTGGGAAATGGGGCCCAGGCAGTAGTCCCCCTCCAGTGGGAGGACTACTCCTCGCTCTGGCTTTTCCATCCCTTTTATTTATTTTTTCTTTCAATTTTATTTATTTTTTTTTAAATTTAAGAACCAATAACTGTATTTGAAGAAACAGTAACACTTGAACATGAAAACTTAACATTTTGCAAGGGCAATATGACAACACGCATGCTGGGCACGGTGACAAGGGGACGTCACCCATGGCTCTCAGGAAGGCAGTCCAGGCTCAGCTCTTCTTGCCGGCACCCAGAGCGAGCTTGTCGGAGAGGTACTCTTCCAGGCTGGAGGTCGGGGCTCCCAGCTTGCGCAGCTCGCTGACACTGGCTCCCAGGCTGTAGATGAACTGCACGTCCTGGCGCAGGAAGTGACGCGCCAGGAAACCGCGCAGGTGGGCGTCGTGCTTGCTGGTGGCCAGCTGGTGCAGGTTGCGCAGCTCTGGTTGACCATCCTCGCCATCTGCAAGGCGCTCTTCACGGCCTTCAGGCCGCTCTCCCACTGGCTGTGGTCAGGCCCCCTGATATCTCGCAGGCGGATGCAGCCCCCTCGCCGGTTCTGCAGCTCCATCAGCGTCCGGGCGTGCTTCCACTCCTCCCTGGACTGCCACAGGAAGAAGGCGGCAAGCGCTGCAGGGCCTGGTCCTGGCGGCCGAAGTAGAAGGCGATGGACAGGTACACGTAGGAGGCGTGCAGCTCCAGGTGGATCTGGTGGTTGATGGAGGCCTCGCAGTTGTTGTGGTAATTCTGGCGCACCTGGGAGATGGGCCTCGGCACCACCACGGGAGACGTAAGAGCATGGGTGGAGGCGCGGGGGCAGTGGCCGCCAGCATCGGCAGCAGGTTTTCCGGGGGCGGCCCTCCCGCCAAGTAGGTCATCAGGGCCTCGTGGCGAGGGCT